TATGGCACAAGATTGACAAGGGATATTCGATAAAATTACTGTACTTAGCAAATCAAATAAAGTGAAATACTTCCTATTCAGATTAGGAAAATGTAGTTTAAGTGTACGTCGATGTAGCCTAACTGCGGTGAAGAAACATGATGTCTGCGGCATCTACTTCAGCGTGAGGCATGAGGTGCATAACATACTACGATCAATAATATATGTGAATCTTTCTAACTCTTCGAAAGTTGTGTTTGACGGGCCTCAAGCGGATTCCAATGGGTCTCTACAATCACACTCCCGAGCTAGACTTGCCCACCACTGCCTTGTGGGTAGGACTGTTGTGTCAAAGGCTAGGCATCTCAAACAAAATCCCTGTCTCGGAATGGGCAACCGGAGAGTATCATCTGTATCCTCAACTTCGTCGAAAATACTCCCTCTTTTCTTTCTTTTTCCCTTCTCGCCTCTCTCCTTCCTCGTCTGTTGAGCAAAAGACTGCAACTGCTGCTACGACCATCGATACACGTAACTCGTTCCTTAAACCAGGGGTCTCATTACACATTGGTTCGCCTGGCGTCTGCACTCTGGATCAGATCGGTCAACAGGCAGCATTAACTGTCACTCTTCACTCTTTTGATATTGATGCCTGCTGTGCCTTCCAAGCACCCGTACAGGATAACAGCATTGTGTCGGATCTATGACACCCTGGTTCTGAATCGGTCCACAATGACTACACTCTTTGAATCTCTGGAGATACTGAGTCAATTGTCCAAGGTATTTACGGTGTAGGCATTGCCGTCAGCAAACATTCTGAAAGACATCGACTTGACAGGTTGCCAATTAACAGCCGCGTGTTCGACTTCGAACCTCAATTGGGATTAATGAGCACCACCTGAAGACTAGGTGACGTCGTTTCCTTTTATACTCCTACTGACTGGACTTCAGAGGGTATCAAAGATTATTTCTTCCCTTCCATATAGTAAAAATTATAAACCTCGAGATCCAAACTTGGATTTGCACTACCCGCCATTTGCTTTGGTTGCGACACGCAATCTCTATTACGACATTATTCACTTTGAAGTAGACTTCAGTCATTCCGAGCACAGTGACCGTATCCGAAATGGAGGTGGTTCGGTGTTACTCCTCCCAACACTGACACCCCATGACCGGTTTCGTACTCCTTTGGACTCATCAGATGGAGATAGTCTGAGCTGGCTTGGAACTCTGGGCTTAGTGGTTCACGGCTGACGTCTTGATCACTATACCACTAAGGTCCGTGAGCAACGCTTTGTACTTTGAAACCCTTACCGCTGATAAGTTGGCCCACCAATTGTTTTTGATGACTGAGGTTGATGAGTCGAACGCTGACTGGAATCATCTCAGCTATGCCATGAAGAATGGTTTCGAGGCCAACTTGATATATCCGAACTGTGGATTAATCTCTGAGACATCCATCGGTTTGATTGAGGCACGCGAACACGTTTTGTTGAGCACTGAGTTCTAGCATGTCCGTAATGCCCTGTTTAGACGACAGACAAGGGGTCTTCCAATTGACTGGGAACATTAGCGGATAGCAAGGTCACATAAAATTGAGAATGACAATGCTATTAAGATCATCCGAATACTGTTCCAGCTCATCCAGAACACGGGTCCAAGGAAACTCTCAGTTAAAGAAGAAATAGCTGGACAGTTGATCGCTCCCACTTATGGGGCCGTGTACCGTCCGTCGGTAAATATACAAATTTATTTATTTATTTATCCTCATCTACGTCGACTAAGTCGTTGGGTAGAACCTTTTGTGGAGCGATTCAGCAGGCCTGCTGCGACACTGTCGCTTGCTGAATCATTTGAGCCTACGTGGGGAGTTGATGTCACACCTCCTGCTTTGATGGAGCTTCAACATAAGCTTGCTGTCTTGTAACGAAACGAGGCTCCTGGATCCGACGATTTTCCTCCACCTTTGCTGAAGAATACAGGTTACTCTTTTTTGATTGGACTTGTTGCACTATTCAACACGTTATGGGACACAGAAGAATTGTCTTCAAACTGGCGATTGTCTTGCCTATCTCCAAGAATAGTCAGTGCACTTTGTGCGAAAATCATCGAGGCATTAGTCTTATTTCCACTGCCTCCAAACATCTCATTATTCCTCCTGAGAGCTGGATCGCTGTACGTCTTGCTGGCTTCCGTCCTGGTCGCGGTTGTCTCAACCACATATTTGCTTATATCAAGTGTTACAGCAATAACGCATTTACAGACGATCGACTATGGTAGTTATCCTTTTCCAGGAAACCGCCTTCGACTCTGTTGATTGTGCCAGCTTGCCTCACTGCCTATACGTGGAGGGAGTGTCTGGAAATTTTCTTTCTATTTTTAAGCTTCCACTGTGGCTCCCGTGGCCGGGTATGGGTCTACGGGAAGCTGTCTCCTGAGTTCCCCACGACTAGGGGTGTTCTCCAGGGTTGTCCTGTAGCTTCTTCCCTCTGCAACTTTGTGACCAAAATGATCATGAATCACTGTGTTCGTTCACCGTTTGGGAGTTAAAGTTCTGCCAGGTGACCGACTCGCAAATCTTGCGGACGACGTATCTCTCCTTTAGTCTGATGCTGTCACCATGTCATTACAACTGAGTAGACTGGTGCGTAGCGCTGCACACTTTGGCATGTGCTTTGCACCTTCAACGTGCAAGGTGTTGTAGAATTGATTCGGTACGCTACCGGTTTTACGTATCAGCAAACAACCACTAAGTGGTGGATCGCTTCACTTACCTTGGTACTAGTGTTATCTCTAGTGGACATCACTGAGGAAGTTCATTCGCACATCATTAAGGCTCCCGTAATACTTCAAGGACTCAAACGTCTACGCAGACGGCGGGATATCAGACTGTCAGTGAAATCTAGGGTGTGTAATGCTGTGATTACCCCGATGATACTGTATTGATCACAGCTCTGATCAATTCATTGTGAATACATTAAGCGCTTGGCCGTGTCTGATCATCGTTGCTTGTGGAATCTTACTCACATCGGGTGAGAACACCGGGTGAACAATTCTGACGCTCGCTCTGGTCCCTCACTCGAGTGTTTGTTAAATCTTGACCGCTTACATTGGCCCGGTCATGTTTTCCTTATGCTCGTTGACCGGCTTCCTCGACGTGCATTATACACTGCGGCTTTACCAAGTTGGGCGAAACCGCGGGTTGGCCAATCCATGACATAAAGGCATCGATTGACTGTCTGAGAGACTTGATCAGGCTGATGCGTACCGTCTTTGTGGATGGAAACCTCGGGATCGTCCACACAATTAGGTGGAGACTCAGACATGACGCTGTCACGAAGTCAGTGGCCTTCCTGCACTCGGTTTCTAGCATTTATTTGTTAATTTTCATTCCACTGTATTCATTTTAACGCACCTCCCTGGTTTCAATTTTCTACATCCTATTCATTCAACCTCGCTTTCTTACCATTGATATTTATTGTTATTCTTGCGATGTGAGTCGTGGCAATAGAATCCGATACACCTCGGTGCCTGCATCATCGTTGTTTAACTGAGCTGAACTGATCGGTCACGGTTCATGTGAAGAATGCAACCTGTCAAGTTCAGATGCTCCAACTTTAACGTGTAGCCTTCCATGTCGCACCAGATTCCGTTACCCGACCTCGAGCAGTGTTTAGCGGTTCCCTCCAAATTTGCGAAACTTTTCGCGAACACCGATTCTTCGAGGCGACTGGTTTTCTCTTACACAGCTTTTGAAGATTTGGAACAATTAACATGTGTTTTACGACTGTATTATTTTACGCACCTGCATGTGGGAGTTGGCGGGTTTGCACCAATTTGACCAAGGGCTGTCTTGCTTGAGGCGGGCGGTAGCAAACCTTTGAGTACCCGAAGGTGCCATCCCACCATCGGAGACAATGCGTGGCGCTCGGTCTGTAGGCCAATCGAGCTGTAAACTTATAACCCGTAAACCTATTGTCTCCCATGATTATGTTCTGCAGGAAAAGGGCCATCGACCTCTCCTTTACCTCCGAAGAGGACTGGATTATGAGACTAAATCTGATCCCTAACCATTGACCTGTCTAGTATGAGTGGCTCTGAATGCATTTGGAAAGTGCCACCCAGCGTAGCTCATTGAGTCACAGGGGCACACAAACCATCGCACAACACTAAGGTTCACTCTCGTTGTGTTATCCCCAGCCTCGTTTTAGTTCCGCGACGCTCATCAGACCACCAGCTTCCGTTTGCTTCAGTTAGACTGCGAAGAGATTTTTCAGTTCACGAATCCAGCTAATATTTAACTGAAATTTTATTCAAGGCTGTCCCGATATCAGAGGTCATTTTCTGGCGCATATTCCTATCAATTCCTTCTGTCGGTGCACCACATACCATCACAGTGTCTTGATCAACTAGAACACCTTTTTGACTTGCCGTATATTACCGAATATAAGTCGATGATTTTTGGACAATCTTTTATTTCTGTAATGAGATGTCGGTTTATATATAGGCTATGCACAATTTGACAAAATCACATGCAAAATCCACCCAGAATTTCATTGCACACCTCTACCCCTATTTTCCGTTAGCACCACCCGCTAGTGGCGGGGATTTAAAGTGCATCTTTTTTCGTACGGTGTCCACGCAGCACTGCGGGCAGCGTGCCTATAATTATACACGTTATTTTTTGGCGAAAATTCTCGGTACAATGCACATTTGTCGTTATCGACGGATGACATTAACAGAAACTTACGGGTATCTACAGAATCAAATACCATCACACACAATAACATGGGGAAAAATCATGACAGAAAAGCACTTACTAGTAGGTTTCTTTAAAGGTTGGCTAGTAAATTTGATATTGCCAAGCTATGCTGTCGACCCATCCATGGATGGGCTTATATTCGGTACTACACGATATTCCTCCGAACTGCACTATCATAGAAGAGTGCTTATGCTTTACGCCTTTGTTCGATTTCGGGAACACTGATCTTTTTACCCCACTGTTCTCGTTTGTTTTCTCACAGGGTGCTCATGGTTCTATCCCGCTGGGTTCGCAGTAGTCGATATTATCAAAGCGATTTCGCTCCCTCTCCTGAGTTACGCCACAAACTAACAGAATTCCTGGCCACCGTGCAGTCGAGACATTTGAGTTCTGTTGTGCGACGCATCCAACAGCATTTGCAGGCGCATTCTGTTGATGATAATTCGGATTTGGAACAAAGTGCTTCGCACGCAACCGATGAAGTTTCTGTCAATTCATGTATCCCATCGTCCAAATATCTCAGTCGAACAGGCTCTCATTCCGCATTCCTAGCCGAGGAAGAAGTACAATCCTCGGCTTCACCTTTGGACCTAACCGGTGTAAGATTAAATTAAACTTTTCCAATTCATATGCGATTTTTAGTCCGAATTACTCACACTAACTGTGCCCTTGTCATCTGAATGCGACATATGGTGTTTTCCGCCTTCCTTTTACTCATTTCTGGTTTATTTCTGATCGTCTCCGTCCCTATTGAATACCACCTACAGTAGAGCGCTCTGGAAAACTCCGGTATGGTTCAGTCGAATTTAGCTTTACACCAATAGAGCATCCGATACGTGACTTTCATTCTATCTTTTAGCTTTTCAGTCTTTAGTTGTTGACTCGCAACAACTCCCATTTCATGGACATCTGTGAGCGTTGCACTAATCTTGACCGTTCCTTAACCCCACGCACAAACACATCCGAAGGGCGAGTCGAACAATGTTATAAAGTGTTGCGGCGGTTAGAGGAGAGTGCTTTGTTTAAAACTGCGTCTGTTTGCAACGTGGGATTAAGGTGACACCTACAAATGCGTTTGCTCGCACTTTTAACTTCGTTACATCTCCAATATGTGATCGGTGCGTTGTGAAACGAGCCAGGCTGCTTATTGCCTCTTGTTATGCGCGCTCCCAGTTTGAGACCTAAACACAGCTAATGGGTTAGCCCCGTCGTTTTTTGTCACTCCGTTGTTATCGAACGTGGCATCAATTGGCCTAGTCTCACTTAAGCGTTGTAGAACATGCCAAAGGTAGCTCTGAACATTCTCAGTTCATATTCCTGGTATTCTCACTTTTATTTGTCTTCTCAAACCGTATAACAAAAGCACGAGGTGCCTTTGCTAATTTTCGCCACCCATGGCGCCTGCGCGACATCATTCTCTCCCTGAAGGGTGGAGTGTACGATGCAGCCGTACGCTCGACCCTAGTGTCCTGTTAGCTCAGCTGATATAAAGAGGCTAGTTACGTCTGACCACCGGTGCGTTCACAGTTTGGCTCACATTTGGTGAGAGCACCGTGTGAGCAATGAGTGTGTTCGACGCCTTGTCTATGGCGCAGAAAGAAGAAGCGAACCGTTCAGCACCATTATTTCACACACCAAGCTCCGATGGCTGGATCACGTGTTGAGCATGCCAGCACACCAACTCCCGCGACGTGCATTGTTTGCTCGCCGGTGGGTGAGGATGCAAGAAAAGATGGGGTGGCCAAGCGATGACTTGGTCGGGAAGAATGAAGGCCCTTCGAAGTTAGCCTCGGTTGGAGCGTCTCGGCTCTCTGATTGGGGTCCCAAGAACGATGAACACGTTGACTGGATACACTTGTTGACATGGCTGGGAGCCGACCTCAATGGCGTTTGTATTATGAGTCTCTTTTCCCTCCTCCTCCAACTACACTCATTTATTAGGCATAATATAACTCCTTTTTTGCGGCACAATAGCGAGGTGTTGGCTCTCTGGAACCTTGTCCATCCGTTACCGGTGACTCAGTCGGCGTGCCTCTATCTCATTGTTTCCTTTTTTCGTATTTCGGCACAATAGCTGAGGCATTTTCCACCTGCAGCTAACGTGTATAATGATGTTGAAGTTGATTTGTCTTTTATTTAACCGCTGCTCACTTTTGACGATCCCCGTATACCTGAAGTGTTTCCTTGTAGAATCTCACGATGCGAGCATGGTGAAAAGCTAGTTGCTCTTGATTATTCGGACTATGTTGTCTTGCTTTTGGGACAGTCCAGTCGACCTTGAATAACCTCTCCAGAGTGGTCCAATCATTTTGCATGCGCTTCGCATCTTCAAATTGGAGTGTTATTGCAGGACAATCAGCCACTTCATGATCCCTTGACTCTTGCTAGCAAGGAACTCTAGGTAGTTGACCAATTTACTTACTTTGACAGCTGCATCAGCAACGACGGGCGTGTGGTTGTCTAAGTTAGTTCACCTTTTGCGAAAGTTAGAGTAGTCCCCTTGAATCTACAAAATCTGCGGTTTGATGAGAAGCTTTCCCTCGGTCTGTAAGGTCGTGTGTGCAATGCAGCAGTGAGTAATGTCTTCTATAGAAATGAGACTTGGACCGTTTTGTTTCAGAATCTGAGGTGCCTTCAATTCTTTGTCCATCACTGCCTGCAGAGCATTGATAATATCGGATCGCGTCTACATTCCTGGAACGATCCTGTGCGCAATTGCTTACTGGACGGCGATAATCAGGCTCATTGCTTAAAAATGATATTGGATGACATTGAATATGTTGTGTTGACTTAGCGACGTACTACGTATGCCCGGTCAGCGCTTACCGAGGAGGGCCTTATTTTGGTTGCCCGATGTAGGATGGTATAAAGCTGAAGATGGACAAAAGTCGACTTGACAGCAGGAACTACAATCACTGACGACCAAACTGGGTGTTGTTGGCCGATCTCCCCTTTCAGACTGCGGCCTACGTGACCTGATTGGCTCAACACAACACAAGACATGGCCTGTAGTCGACACCATTGGCGCGTTTTCTGTCGTCTAGTCGGACTGCCTGTTTAAAGTGTGCTTGGTACTGCGTTTTCTGCGATGTAATGACTGATCTTGGTACGTGGCAGTGAATGACACAAGGAAGCTGTCTCGGCGATGCCATCTTACCTTTACATGTTAGCCGACTGTTTGTGACCGTAGGTTGTTGACAAGATGTGGGCACCCGGACCTTGGATGTTTCCTCAACGCATTTAGGTCTTACGCTATGTCTCCCACTTTTGCCTTTTTTCTTTAGCTCATTGTGGTTGTACGACAGCCAAGCATCAGTTCAATTGTCTGATGTCCTGACGTTGTTGGTGATGATGGCGGTGGCGGTGGTGATCTTGATATTGATAACAGTTGTTCGCATACTGGGCGCTAGACTTATTGATATCCAAAATCTTGGTCTGCCTTTGACGTTGCAGTTTTATGCACCGGCCGTTTAAGGGTTAACTGCATGTACATGTCTGCTCTTCCACCTGTCACTTGAGAATCTGGATTGCATTTCAACCAAGGTCTGGCTACATCTTTCGCATGTCTACTTTTCTCCTATACATTCAGGTTCTGTATACTTTATACCTGTTTTATTTCTGCTTACTCTAATCGCTTCGTTCCATCTCCGGCGGGCAGGATGAATGTTACTCGGTGTTTCCACTGCTTTGGAATTATATACCAATTGGAGTATCCTTTGGAGCTCTACTTACTTTCGATCACACTTGTTGCGTCACCACAAGTGAAGTAGTATACATGTTAGCGGATCCGGATCACAGTCGGTTTACTGAACGCTCGTTCGAAGTCATCTTACTGGCGTGAAATAAATGCCTGTCACTCTGTAGTATCTGGTCAGCCTTGTTCCTCTTCACCGTGATCCCTCTCGATTGTGCCCCATAATGATGCATCCAATAGGAGACCGAGCTCTCTGCGCTTCAAAGGGTTTTGGGGGCTGTAATATACACCCAAGCGCATGTCTGCAGCACTTTAGTGATGTACCAATTCAGTTGCCCCCTTTCACTTAACAAGGTTGTAGTTCGATCTCTGATCCAGTGCACAGTACCAGGAGACGGCGTTTATTTTCTCTCATTATTAGCCTCGAAAATGTTACCGCAGCAGTTCACTCACTTGATTTCTATTTTGTCATATGGGAAATCTAGGCATCCACACACCACATAACCCATGCTCACAATAATCAGCCTAATCTTCACTACCTCTCATATGCCACCATCTATAACGTCCTTATCACGTCTACCGGAATGAACGTATTTAGGCCCACCGTCTTGTACAAACCATGCAGTGGACCATCTTTTCTCGGCTATATTCAGAGGCGTCGGACGAGTGTGCGTGATCTCAAAGCTCCATAGATTACATGTAAGCAGGAAACCGAGTGCGGCACCTACGGAGGTTCCTCATTCGGTGAACCAAGCATTTCAACTGTATCATTTTATCATCAATCTACTTTCCTGGGTTGTCCGGATACTTAGGCTAGCAAATTGAATTAGCACGCAGCCCTTCTCTAGTGTTGTAGTAGCCCAGTCTATTTGATGCACTTCATCAACCGCTACTTGTCGTCCATTATTGATATGATGCTGGAGCGGATGTCAAACACATTGCGTTCCATTGTACCTTTCGGGTTAAATCTCAGTGTGAATAAATTACTATTCCTTGAATTTGTAAACCTATACCTGTTTCTGTGTGGGATGGTATTTTCCTTTTTACTTACTTTTCTACTAAGTTTTACTAATTTCCAGTTGCGCATCGGCTCTATCCTCCCAATAGGCCCTGTCCAGCTCTGCCAGCCCCACAATGTCACATATTGAGCCAGTTTTCAATTTACAGGTCTTCCGGTTCGGTGTGTTACCATTCACCACTTATACAGCCAATGGCTGGTATGGTTATCGGTAATCTGACGATATCTTCATCATAATGCGGTCTCCTGCGTTAATGCCACCATAGCACATTGTACATTCTGTTACTGTAGTCGGCTTGGATGTTCAAAAATCTGGTACGTCAGATTTGATTATGCTACACTCAAATGTTGACTAGATATCTGTTTGTTCGTTACCACCATTTGATTATGTGTGAGTCCATTCCATGCGATGCACTTCGCAGATAAACCCCAGACTTGCGATCGTGACCGGCAGCGTGGCATTGCCGGATCTCACTATCCCAAACGCCTTTGTTTAATTTGTTTTATCGTTTTATTTACTCGTCTGTTTATCTAATTCAGTGAGCTACACCTCTTATCTTCATGAACTGGGCACTGTCGGTCATTGTTTCACTTTCTGCTCTGTTCGATCCGAGTCAGATAGTAGCCTGCGCATGGCATGCAGCAGTTTCTCTCTTTCTCAATCCTGTATTTTTCCTGCCGTACCGATGTGTTCACCTTAAAGCCTTCCAACACGGGTGGGGCTTTAAAAAATTGTCTGTTTCCAATCAATGTCTCACAGGTCCATCCCTATAAACTAGCCGAGCAGGTGACCCTGTACGAATGGGAGCTTTATCGAGCTATTCAATTTTGGGAAGTTGACGGACGTGATCGTACTGGTAGATCCACTCCAAATTTGGACAAATCGAAACAATTCTCCAACAGGGTATGTTTGCATATTGTCTCTCAATACATCCACGTCGAAATCAATCAATTGGGTGCACACTGTTCAGGTATTTAGGCCTATAAAAGCGTGTTACTTGCTTGTTCACTTGGGTTAATTCAAACAACCAATCCCTTTACTGGGATCACACCAAACTTTACCGACGAAGCGGAGCGGCCGATGTTAGCTGGGAATAACTACAGTCGGCCTACTAAGCACGATGCACAATTAGCTACTAGGCACCGAACTTGCACATCCTTACTGACTCCATCGCAACAAATCACTCCCATGTTTAGTTGTCTTATATCCTGCAAGCTAATATGTCCCTGCTTGACCTAAAGTCTTTGCATTAGTGGTTGTCCGTGGGACTTGGACTTCTCAAACGCTTGAGCATCCTTTTTAGTGCGGACCTAGTTTTCAACGCTTCGGAGTAGACACGCGATCTTGTCGATTGAAATTCTCGATGCTTGTTTTGGTACAGCTACGTCGCTGTTACTTAATTCCCTTAAAATCATAGTGAAGAATAGGCAGTGCTCATAATCTGCTATTTACAAGTCGAAGTCACGTGTACTAAACCAAATGTTCTATCAAGTCTCGATCTCTGTTTTTTTTCCTTTGCTCATTGCTTCTTTCGCAACCGGATTTTCAATTCTTTTCGTTGACTCATGTGGATTTCTCTATGGACTGCAACCGAACGCAAACAAGGCGAATGAGCCACCTGGCTGTCAACAATCTTCGTATTCGCCCCGTTGCCTTGCGGGTCAGGTCTTTAAGACTAAAGGTTCAGGGTTGGGTCCCCTAAGTCAACCCTCTTCCTGGGCCTTGGCAACGAGGAAGCTCTCTGCTCACTGCACGCATGGATCTTCGCCTACTTTCTGACTCTCTTCCTCCATTGTTTGGTTGTTTCTCATGTCTTATGACACTGCCAACTGTTTATTGGTCGCTATATATATATATATATATACAGTCGATTCCGGTTAATCGGACCACATCGGGACCAGACCATTTTGGTCCCATTATGCGGCTGGTCCGATTAACCGAAGTTACCCGATGTAACAAGATGGGACGTGCTATACATAACATAGGAAACTACTATTATGACCGGTATTGGCGGCATATATTTATAGCAAACACACAAAAAAGAACTGCTTTGGTAACGAACTTTGTTCACTGAAAAAGAAATTTACAAACAAATTCTTTGTAACGACCTACAAGATCTTCAGCATGCGAAGTACAGTTTTATACAAAGGGGTTACCGAATTCCATTCAGCGTTTGAAGACCGTATCCGGTGTGATTTGACGCATTCTTTTAACAGACTGCATTCGCACAAAATCACCACAAACATGTAACGCAGTAATAGGACTACCTTCATTTCCTTCCTGCATGAAATGGCGGTGCAATGTTTCAATGCATTTCCTTGCATCCTGTTTTGTGACTGGCATCAACACGTTAGGGTTCTCTTCATCACTTCCATGGTCTTGTGTTGCTGTCGTGTGTTTCGCTGCTATTCGAGCAACAATGGCAGCATCGCATTCTTCATTTCCATCATAGAGTTGAAGTTCGCTGTCGATTGACAAAAATTCTTCGTAATTTTCAACTTGTTTTAGCTCCACATTCTCGCCGTCATTTTCATTTACCATCACCATATCCACATCCATCTCCGAGACAATATGCTTAAAGCCACAGTGAGAAAAACAGTTCCGAATTGTCGCACTGCTCATTTTTCGCCAACTTTCGGCCACGAATGTAACGGCTTGCAAAATGTTGACCTTTGCACTGATTTCTCCGGCCGTCGAGGATGAGGTCAGCAAGCCTTCCTCAATTGATTCAAGGATGTAATTCACCAACCTTGAACGATAAAAGGTCTTAAATTTTTTATGATGCCCATGTCCATTGCCTGTATCAAAGATGTGGTCTTAGGAGGCAGAAATTCCATCTGGATATTCTTCAAGAAATGTGAACAAGCGTGTATGTCTTCGCTCCGCCTACAAGTGTTGGAAACTACAGTCAGTTTCGGGCGGTTCTGAAGCCAATTAGATAGATGTGCCTCAAGGTTGCCACAGTTCGGTTTATCCAAAGGCCAACTCGGATTACCGTAACTGAATGATACGCTTTCTTGCCCGACATATGAACTGTGGGTTTAGTCCAGACATCCAGGCACAGAACTTGATTTTAACACCTCTGTTACCTGCCACCTTCTATCGTCTGGTCCGATTAAGCGGAATTCCGGTCCTAATAAGCGGCTAAAATTAGGCCAGCGTAATAGGATTCGTTTCGGTTCTTCAGAATTTGGCCCGAATAAGCGGCTGGTCCTATTAACCGGTGGTCCTATTAACCGGAATGGACTATATATATATATATATATATATATATATATATATATATATATATATATATATATGACTTATGTTTACTTTTCATTTGTCATCGTCTCTGCCAATCAGCCTTATCTCTGCATACGACAGCTTTCTGCCTCCTTCACACTTTCTCATCTGATTCATGGTATTACTGCCAGCCTCTTGGCTTATCTGCCTAATTGTGTAAGTGCCTACCGGCCCCAGCTCTGCTTACCGTAGACCAAACGAACGATATGCAATCCATCCAGTACCATAAACTTCTACGCTTAGGTCCCTTACCCGGTTAAAGATTGCATTGTGTGCGTCACGTAACAGAAGTCTCTTGTTTGCATCCAATAGTCTAGCATTATTGCTGTTGGATCATCAAAGATACCCACTTATCCTTCTTTGCGTCCTACCGCAATCCGCACTTTTACATCCGTTATCTGCAATACCGTACCGATGCGCGTTTTATTGATCGTTTTTCCAATTACTGGTAGTGCAGTTTCATCTATGTTATTCCACGTTATAACCCTGACCTTTGTTTTGTCTACACAGAGTGCAGATTTGACCTTATTACTTCATGCTGTCCTGTTGCGCTGAATACGATTCAATATATTTGATGTGTCTTAAAGTTGTTACTTTGGCACCTTACCAGTATCGTTCCATCTCTCATTTTCCCGCACCGGTTATCTACTGTGCACTTCCGACAGTGACAGCACGTTTATTCGCAATATTCGCGCCTGTCGAGAATGATTCCGTATACCAATCCATCTTAGATTTCCTCATTTGTTTGGTACTTTGTCCCCATTAAGCTTGTTTGTATTTCAACATAAATGTGCTCTACTGGTCATCTTGAATGCTCTCTTTTCCGTATATTCTCTGTATTTGTCGCAAAATTGCTCAAAAGCATGACTTATTTCTCATTTCATTTTCAGTTTCGGAATTGGTTGGTCTACGCTATCTTGATGGAGCAACATCCTGAAGATCGTATGATTGCTATCCAGCGCGTAATAGACTTGATGCTAATCATGGAAAAAATGAACAATCTTCAAGGTAGTCAAGAAGCCAAATCCGCTTTGATCAGCGCATCCGTATTTCGATTACGGAAGTCCTTTCAAGTACGTATCTCGTGTTGATAGATTTGCCTTCCTTTTACTAGCCCTCACTTTTGGACCGTCAGCTTTTGTCTGGGATCCGGGAACCCCGTCTAAATGTTTCAGTTTTACGTGGTACTCAATTATTTTCAGTAGTCCGATTTTCTACCTGCTTTTTGTGCCACGTTCAAAGCTAAAAGCAATACACTAATCGCCAGCATCGTCGATTTACTGTATCCCTTTGCGCTTGGTACGTACAATTGATTACCACTCCTTTAGCGAATTTGGGTCTAAATCCCAGACGAAATAGTTAACTGTACTGACCTGAAACCTTTGAAATGCCCATCCCGATAGATGTCTGCCTGTGTCCGTACCTTTAAAGGTCGCTTATACATTCTGAACGAAATTTCATCACATTTTTGGCGTAACTTAATTTTCCCACTCGATTCGCTATGGCTCCTTTGTTCCCTTTCAAGTTCGCGCAGCGCATCCTCTTCCGACGTTACAACATTGACAACATCATTGTGCGCCATCATGCAGTGCATTAAGAGCATCGTATGAATCCACATATCCTGGTTACTTTGTTACCAACACCGTTCCATTGACTCGCAAAATGTTCCACTAGGATTACAACCAATTTGTAACATGAGGTCTGTGGCTTTATTCGATGTACCTGTTACCAATTTCCGCCGCTTTTCCAAGATTCCTTCCGACTAAGATGTCTTTATTATGATAAATCCGTGACTCCATCTATCTAATCCAACAGCTATCGCATGCACTAATGCGGTGCTGTTTCGAAATCGTCCACTCGACGACCATCAGGCTTCCGTATATCCGTCTTCTTCCACCTTCCCAAGCTGCTTTATGGTTGATTGGTCGTCTGCCATGTCAACTTCCCTTCACTTTCATCATTCCGCTTTCATATGTCACCCGATGTGCTCTAGAAACAATTTTGACTCCGTAAACAGGGAATACTAACAGTGCCCTGTATCGTAACCAACTAGATTCGTTTTCTCTTCATTGAACAGAACATGCAGGCCCCTATCTAAAACTATGGCTGCTTCCTCACACTCTGTAGCTATGCAGCTGATGCTGCACAAACTGTCGATTGGCGTACTTAAGCCGTCTATATCCGCCCTTAGTATCCCACATATTTTCACTGGTTTCGAGTCTAATTTCCCGGACACCTAGTTTTTACTAGTGTTAACTTCACATTGAACCGAGTTTCATCATTCCACTGAACTGTGTGCTTTTCCTTTGTATCTCACTCGCCGGCAAATAGGTAAAAATTCACCTGTACTTCATGTACTGGCACCAGACAGAAATATACAATGCACCTGATGGCTTTTACTCTGAAGGTAATGCTTACTACCATTCAACTATTAACGTCTGAATGCTGTTCATGTCCAACCGAGCTTTCTCAGATGTTTGGTACTTGAATCCGAATCTATCTATTGCGCACTGATTCACCTACTCATTTCCTCCATGGTGTGTTTTACTGGCCCACATCATTCATTTTTGTTACTCACCGCCAGCCAGACGCATACGTCTCTGTTCAGCTTTTTTCCTGTGACTCACTCTCAGGCTTTCTGATACTCTTCCTACTTGCTTCTTCCCTTTATCCTCTTACTCTTTTCCCTCACATTCTCCAGTCGATTCGTCGCATGCGTCACTATCGGGATGTCGTGGACCGCTTGTTACGTGAAAATTCCACTGGATCCAAACTACGCACTAAGATTTCCTCTGTCAGACCTCATTCCCCAAACGCAAACGACAATGACCATCCGAGCGGCTCTATTTCACCCTTTGTATTTGGATTGCCTTTTTCCACGAAAGTCAGCAAGGCGCATGAGCGACGGATCAGAGTGTTGGAGAAGCAGCACGCTTCAGGTGATGCTTGTCATCCTTGTGTGCCATTCATCGCTGTTGGTGTGATGACCAGACTTATCCACTTGGATTTACGACATCCGGACACGGTTACTACAGAATCAGGCACCGTTTTAGTTAACTACTGGAAACTACGTCAATTGGCTGAAGTGGTTGAGCGTTACATGGCATTCCAGCGTATCCCCTACATGTTTAAGGTGGACAATGAACTGCGGGTAAGTGTTTTATTGCACGAGTTTAGATGTTTATTCTGATGTGCTGCCTGTTCACGTCTGATATACCAACGGCAACAGCCCATTCCATCCTCGAACCTTGCTTACACTCAACTGACTGCTCATTCAATTTGTGCTCTTTGCATCTGTCCAGGTTATCGCGAAAAATAACTGTGAACCTATCATCCATCACTTACTCGCTTGCTTTTGCCAACATGTGTCCTCTTCACCAAACATGACTGCATACACTCTCTGTACAATAATGGTAATAATAATAATAATACTTGTATTTATAGTATTAATACTAATGATGTCTACTCTCGGTTCTACGAGATATGCCCTTTCCGGAATGATCAGCATTTCACAATCACAGAAGGGAACATATGCATCAAAATAGTGAAAGAGCTCTAGCAGGTTATAAAGGGAAAAGGAAAGTCAAAGGCTTAAGTATAGTAATACGACTATTTGTAGAACCGTCTGTTGGGGATCTGCTTCCATATGGGATAGTCCCACTTAGGGTTCTACTCACATGTCCACTCCCATCTGGCACTGTGCCGGTGTGCCTTAAAATCATGCACACCATCACCGTTTTTATTTGTCTCTCAGGCCATTTTTATATTCGATTAGTATAGGCACTTCTGCCAATCTGGCCGTGCTTCGGTGTTACTTAACTTCATACGGATCAACACCGCTTCAGCTTTTTTGGCCATTTTATGTGCAATTACGGTGGCCCTTTGTGGTTGGTTTCTCTGGACACCAGCTTGACCCAGTTCCCGAAACGAAGCTACCAGCTGACTCGTGACGTGCAGTAGAGTAGAGGATGCGAGATGAAATGAGTTCTTTGTTCTCGCAAGTCATTGGATAGAGACAATCCACCGAATGAGCCAAAGCATGGCGAGAATTCACAAGATTTGAATGCCGCCGACAGAATCGGTATCCAGCGTGCAGACAGGACATCCACGTGTACAAGTCACACCATCACTGATGTGGCTGCTACGGTTGGCGCTAGGCAGGAACGAGATGCGGCCCTTATAAACAGTGTGTGATAGGAACCTTGGGAATCCTGAACAGTCATATCTTGGAGGACCCATCCATCGGATGGCCTTCGGTCATCCGGCCATTGTGATTCTTCTGAATATAGGACTTCCTTTTTTAACGCCACTGGCTTTGCAGGCAGTTCGCCTTGCTTGAGTACACTGACCGTCTTAGAAGCTTCACTGGGTCATCTCAGGAAATAGGCCAGTTCATAGCCAACAATGTAATAAAATGAACAATAATGAAACTAATTATGTAATGAATGATAGCACGAGATGTAGTCCCTTGGAGGAGTCCGATTTATGGTTGTTGGCATATTGTGGAATGCACCATAAATTGTAATTTATAGCGGCGACGTAACGCCAAATGCAGACGCTAAAAATAACACAGTACATGTCTTTCTAGCATATGGATAAGAGGAAAGAAGGGAACATGAAGTCCTATTTTGTCACACTGGAAGAAATAATGTATGTTCCCATGATAAAGTGAGTTGACTATTTGGAAGGGAACTACTCCAGTGCTTTCTTCAAGCTGAATAATAAATCTTTAGATGGACGAAAGATTATGAAGTGCAGATGGAGGATTGAACAATGCGGGAAGACAGGAGAGAGGTGGCAGCGGAGGATGTATGGTTAGATATTATCGGGTCCGCATTTCTACACATACTCGTCCACTCACTCGAGGCAAAACGATTCTTTGGTGTTTTATTGAGTTAGGTAGTTGTTTAGTTGTTTTTATATGCCCAAATGGAAGCTGAATTTCTTATGGCTTAGACAATCTATTCCATAGCAGTAGATATTTAATTGTAAAGGAGTTGCATCGGAGTCTCGTGCGATGGCGGGTATTTTTATTACATAATCTTTGTTTCTCAGGTTATGTGGTAAAGGCTCTTTGAATTCCGGTTCGTAAAATTTTGTATGTGCCTTTCGATGAACAATTTTGTGAATCAGACATAGATTTAGCTTTAACCTTCCAAGCCACAATGGCTCTAGATTTACCCGGTTACATCTAGCTTTGTAAGATAGGATAGATATGCAACCTTTTTTATAAAGGATTTCTGAGTTGCTTCAATTTCGTTTATAACATCTCTTATGCTGCTGAAGGGGATTACACAGTATTCTAGAATAGATCGGGCATAAACTCTGAAAGCCAGGAGTTTGGCATCAGATGTTACAAATAAGCGGCTCAACATTCCAGTAGTTTGTTGTGCCTTAGCCGCAATATGCCTAAACTGTTCTTTAAAATTAAACGTATGGGAGTAACGCACATTCTAATCGCAGATAGAATTACCTATGTGAAGTGGGAGATGGTGCAGAACAAGACTTCCTGATGGAATACAGCATCCGTAACACAGGTTGCAACACTTACTCGTCGAAATGCTCATTGCGGAACCGGAACACCACTCTTCCAGGCATATCAAGTCGTTTTGTAGTTCAGAAATAGAATACAGCTATGTGGTTCCGCAGCATATACAACTTTTATATCATCAGCAAACAGGTAGTCTACTGTGCTTGATTACTGGAAACAGATCATTCATGTATCTCAGGAAAATAATACGCCCGAATACGCTGCCTTGTACTACACCACAAGTAATGTCCCTGATACCTGATGTGTGATCGCTTGTCCAGACTAGCTGCTTCCTACCACCGAGATATGAATATATCCAAGGCAACAGTGAACCTGTTTTACCATCGGTACGATGGTTCTGTATAAGTAACTGGTGTGGAACTTTGACAGATGCAGAACAAGACTTGTCGGAGTCAACCAAATTCGTTAAATTTTTGAAAACTAGCTGACTTGTGATACTTGAAATTTTTTTAGAGAAAACTATGCTGAACTCGAGACAGAAGATTGTTCAATGTTAAGCATTCAACGATTCCTTAACAATTCTTTTCATAATTTGAGAAATCAAGAAAGTGTGATTTATAGGCCTATAGTTTCCGGTGTCATGTCTAGACCCAGTTCTACATCGTGGTGTTACTATTGCTGGCTTCCATTGCTCAGGATGGAGACTAGATTTCATTGAGGTAGTAAATAAAATCAAGAACAAGAATGGGATATCATCACTGCCATAGTTTAGAAGAGCCGAAGGGATTCCATATGGGCCCGGATGAAAGGCGAGCTTAAAAAGGTCACTTTGGCGCCTGATAGGAGCAATGTTGAATTCAATGGTTGAAATACACTAGCCTGTATATGTCAGGGGTTGTTCTGCCAGTGATACGTTCGTAGTTGTGAAACTGTCAGCAAAATAGCAATTGAACGCTTCTTAACCGCATTAGGAGTCTCAATAAACACTTCCTCATATGTGATTTTGTTGTGTACCGTATCTCTTTTTTAGCAAACATGCCATCTCGGATAGTTTGTTGGCATTATTTAACATAACTGTCTCTTCTTTTTGAAGGCGAAGGATTCTTAGGTTTTCATTCCCAATTAGCAACCTGTGCAATCGGAATAGCACTGGTAAATCTTTTGTCTTTTTAAAACATTTGGAGAGTCTTACTCTTGCATTCATGTCATTTTTGTTAGGTTACGACTTGTCCGTGATGTTCGTTAGATCGGACGATAGCGTTTCAATACAATGGCTCACGTTCCCATAAAATTCTTGGAAGGGCACTTTTGGGTCCGATGATAGGAAAAGATTGTCCCCCTAGGAACGCGCTGATACAAAAATTTCCCCAGTTTATTCTGCTAAATTTGCACGTTTTCTCTTTTTTCAATATCAGATGTGTATGCAAGGTCTAGTTTGCAGCTAACAACATTATGATCACTGCCATAAAGGCAGTCTAGTATGCCGAAGTGACAACAAGTGGGCCACAAGGGAATGTAAGATCTAGAATGTTATACTGTCGTTTTTGTGGGGGCAGTTGCATGTTGTGACCATTCTCCTTCATGTAGGCAATTTTTTAGAGGCTCGGCGTATTTCCCGATAGCTTTGTGTTAAATCCATGAAATGTTTGGCAAGTTGAAATTGCCTCCAATTAGCTTATGATATATAAGTAATTCAGAAGCACACCTCATGGAATTCTGAAGCGTTCCATTTTCGAGGGCGCTAGAGTTTGTCAGCAGGTATACACACCCAATCAGCAGTCTCATATTATTCCAGGCTATTGTTATCCAGGCAGACTCACTCATCGAGTGATTATAACGGCTCGTCATTACACATGGATGCTCTCAAATTGTGCGTGCACTACCTGATGCAACCACATCCTCGTCCATGACGGCGGGTTTTACTCTTATTTGAGTGATTCAGTTATGCTAGCCCTAGGTCGTCAGGTCCACGAGCTTCACATGATACGTTTGCCATCGCGATAAGGAATTCATGTTTGCATTTTTGCATACCTGCCATATGTAGGGGTTGTGACATTAAACCTTAGTTTCGCTCGCGTTCTATTTCAAAGTTGACTTATGTCACGTCCCGTAGCTGGAGCAAATTTTACTGCTTTGCTTCCTTCATCTCAAGTTTAGCCGTCCTTTGCTCCCTAACGTCTCCGGAATTTGTGATTCACTCTCAGGTCCATGTCCTCACCTCCATCTTTGTTTTATCTAAAAGGTACAATTGGAGAACCTAAACCCACTCGAATTAACCGGCTGTTCTTCAGAGGCACAATTTGAAACCCGCATGTACGAGTTGTCGGAGACTTATGAACCTCGGGAGACTGATGCCACCCCGGACTCAGCAGGTCCCACTTTATCCGTGGTACGTCTTTCTTGCTTATTACTTTCAGCACATCACGCTTGTTGTTTTCCGGGTACTATACCACATTTGTTTTCTGCAGCTGATGATATTCCTGTACCGCGATACATTCACTTTCGTTTGTGTCAGTCTGTGGATTTTACTGTGCTGAACGTTTCACTTCGTATTTAGACCATTTAAACCCGTTGAATGCGATTGTCCTTCGCCAGCCTCAATCCTATATGATCCAGTACCACCATCTTTTGATTCTCACTGTAGTCATTTGAGTAACATTTTAGTCAAAGGCTGATCATCTGATACTATTCATCTTATCTAACTTCTCTGGGTTTCATCCTTTCACGTGTCATGTTTCTCTCTCTCTCTCTCTGGTTTAAGCATTCAGTGTCGGCCTAACTTTGGTTTACCGGGTTAGTTCCAAACGTGCAGCAACCAGACGTTGCTTGACCGAAGATTGTCAGTCTCGTTTCTTCTTACTAAGCTTTGGTATTCATACCCGCTTTTGTTCTTGTGTATCTGACCTATGCTTATAGCCTTATGTCGGACTTTCATATTCCTCTCTGCTGCTAATCCGTTATTTCCATGGCTATCTTCCTCCTCATCTTTGAGGGACTTGAGCCTAAGTGCCACCAGCTTTGGTATCGGTCACCAATTACTTCCTGGTCTCATAAAGTAATCACTCTTACAATTTCGTTGCGTCATGAAGTTCTTGTAGAACATCTCTGCTCACCGGCAGTTATCATGGCTTGGAATCCGCTTTCATCCCAATGAAGTTGACCGCCTCTCTTAGTTGACCGTTTTTATTTTCATTGCTTGAAACTCCTTCATGTAAATCTTATGGAACCAGGCCTCTGTGTGTTGGCCACTTTGCTCCAGTCCCTTATGGTGGTTTTGCTGTAGTCTAGATTAGGGATACTCATAGTGCAAGCAAACTTTTGGGGACGATCTATCGCTCTCTCATGCTGACAGTTTTCTTTTCTCTTCGAAATATACTTGTAGATGCACACAAAAGCGTGTTTCGTCAGTTGGGCGTTTCATTTAATCTTGATTATGACCCATTGCTGCTTACCAGCTTCGCGCCGGCATTTGTATTGATTTAGGTGCACATTTCCCTTCGATTGTTTTAGGACCTGTCCAACTGTTTGGTTCCAGTGCTTTCGACAATGGTTCCAACAGGTTTTCATCCTAGAGGGCTTGTAGTTCTCTGCTAGTGGGCGTAATATGTGTTCTCCCTTCAGATGATTACATATGTTGTTACTTGGGTTATGCCGATCATCGGTCTCGAACCATGGCGAATAGTGTCTATCAGAACGTCCAATTGTATTGCCGCCCCATTTCTGCTCCCCTTGTAATCGCGTTTAGTCTACTTTTTGTTTACCCTATCTGACGGCTAACATGTGAATTACATACATTGACCACCCTCAATCTCTCGCATTTTGAATCTCTATCCGGCTAATGTTTTAACTTTGAAATCACTTTCCATCTTCTTACCTCTGGTTGTATTCGATCGAAACGCATGGTCACTCTTTTCTCTATCCCCTTAGGATCGGAGACTGTCAAAGGAGGCCATCCAGGCTGCCAATCTTTTGAGTTCTGTTTCTTTAAAAGAACGTATGTCATTTCAGTCGAAGTTCAGCTTCACTGACATACTCTCCACCCGGGTAAATCCCTCCGTGCCCTCCCGATCATCTCTCCTATCGCACTCCACGAATTTCGGTGGATATAAAGGTGGTCTGAAAAATATGCACAACACTATTTCCTCTTCGCACACAAAGTCAATTGCGACCTCTCGTGATACTGATGTGGTGGGTTCTACTGGCTCCGCACATCACTTTCCGTGCAAATTCCTCTCCACTCCCATAGGGACTACTGATAATCCAACTGTTACCGAGGCACTTTCGACCTGGGGTAAGCCTCTGGCGATTTTAACGTTAATTCGACAAATCTACGGATAAATCCGTGTTTTTTATAAGCCCCACTGCTCTTTCAATGGTTCAACTGTATTTTCATACCCACAGATCCGCTTCTTGCGGCTATGTCGACGCTCAGCTAACCTTACCCGATACGTCAGTTATATGCTAAACTTGCATTGTTTTTTTCTATATACACAATCCGAAATTACCCTTAAGTAAATATTATGGGGCCCGGCTATTATGGCACATTCATCAACGAGTCTTACTGCTATTTTTTGCAAAAGAGGCGATTTTGGTCTAATAATTCTTACTCTGCTTAACTTTATTCTGGCATCGCTACTCTTTGGAGAAAGTATTTTGGTACTCTCCTCTGTGACTCCACGCACTTCTACGCATAAAGTATTTTATGTCTGTTTTTCGGAAACGCTAACTTTGTTCTAGCAGGTTCAGTGTCATCTCCCTAATAACGCTATTGCGCATTTCAGCACTCTGCACCGATCCGTCGTTGCTCTTCACTTGGCGCACCGTTCGCAATTGATGATCTTGGGAGCTGTTAGCGTGCATGTATATTTCTGGTCTAGTGTGATAGCGTCTATCTGTGACATTTTGTCCGCCACACTAGACTTTAGCTTGAGGACGTTTTGTTCTGATCCTCCATATTTGTAAAAACTCAGGGATCGTCACTAACCCTTCAATTCTTTAATACATTCTTTTCAGTCCACTGGTCAAATTCTTACAATATTCCGAACAAGAAAATATATTCTATGTGAATTGATTATGTTGCAAGATCATCCTTGGCGTTGCCCTGGTTCACATCTTCTATTCACCTCTCCTTTTACCCTTAACATCTTCGTGTCCGCTTGAATCGCCTGACCTCACTAATCGGTATATGTTTTATACAAGATAACACACACATACACACCTTTTTCCACTTTTTCCTCATTTTACCCCAGATACCGCGCACCAACACAGCATGTCAGACAGTCAAGTGCTCTCGGCTTCAAAGCAGACAGTTTCACAGATCGGTTCGCCATCAATCTCGGCACAGCGCTATCATCATGAAGCGGCACACTCTATCCACGATATGTTTGGACTACGCGACCTTGGCCTGTTTCCACCCATTTCTTCCCTCACTTCTAGTCAGGTCTCTCTTGCCGGTCTTCCACCTCCATTACCACCCCGCAAACCGCAACACGTTGGGTCCTCGGGTAATGGGTCCACTATCTCTCCTTCATCTCAGTCCGGTGTATCGGCCATGCCCTCAACAAAGCGTGCACTATTTTCCGCTAAAAATTATCCAAGCCATGATAGCTCGTCCGCGGTTCCCCCACCCCTACCCCCAAAGATGCCTTCACGTTCGCTCAGCTCTCAATTGAGTCGATTGCACGCCTCCACGCCTTCTCCGCATCCTTTTACAAACGATCAGGCGTTCACATTTACTGCCGAGAACCATACTTATATTGAGTCCTTAACAGCTGAGCTGCCTCCTCCCCTACCTCCACGTCGCGCCGTCACTCCAACTGTCTCTGCGTTGGGGTGTGGCGTTCGGCCCTTGATACCCCCAAGTTAGCAACAATTTTCCCGTAGTTCGAAATCTCCCACATTTCCCCGTATTGTGAGTTTCTAGACACGAGCCTCAGACTTTCTTATACCTTATTTCCCCCAATCGCTTTCCATTACAGACATCTTTCCGACCGTCATTCGATGTATCATAGCATTAACTGTATCTATGCTATCACAAATTTCGTTTTTCGCTCACTTACCAGCCTTTGCAATCTTCGTTTGTGTGCTGGGCCTATGGTTTTGTATCGTCTCCGCAGTCATGCGAGCAATTGCCTTTTTTCTAACTTCTGCTTGCTCAAGCCGATATTCTGCGTAGTCATGTAATTATTAATGTTTCCCCTCCACAACCACTGCTGCTGCTGCTGAAGTCAACAACAGCGAAAGATAAGCAATTTCGTTTTATAGCCCTCTCGTTTTTTCTTCCCGATCACTGTTACGCTGCTGGTCCGTTTTCACAATTTTGCAACCGGTGGTTTACCCTTACTGTGTTTATTGTTTGTGAGTTATCGCTGTTCTCTGCCCATTCCGTTTCCATCTCTCCGTCCGTACCCTAGACCAACAGTTTCTTCTCCTCACCATGTGTCGCCTTACCGATTTCTTGGATCGTTTTTCGACCCAGGTACTAGCGCCAACCCCGTTTCTTCCGATCACAGCTGCCTGGACTCGAACAAACATCTGTCAAATGACTAACCTCCTTTGCGGAATACACTTCTTCGTATTCCCATCCACTGTTGTTTACTTGGTTTGTTGGGTATTGAAGCCATTTCACCGTCGGATGGGAAGTGTATGTCTGCAGCACTTTGTGGGAAAGCATAATTTCTCTAGTCAGAAGCATTGTACTTTATGCTCGTTAAATGATGAGGAGACGCATGCACAACAAACTGTAGAATGTCACAACTCCTCGCTTAGGTCATGACAAAATCACCGCACGACTGTGCTGGTGCTTCGTTATCACCATTAGCAACAGGAATAGAGGTGAATAATCGCCGGCATCTTACGGTCGCAAATAGTCGGCTGTCACATGAAGATAGGGCAGCATGTGTGCAGCGGATTCTTTCCGGCTTTCACTAGCCCGCGTTATTGTTGATCTTATCGCACAGGTAGATCAGCGCTTTACACACATTTAATGAGCAATCTGGTTAGCGAACGCTCCACAAGATCCGGTGTTTGAGTACTGCGAAAATGCAACTGTAGATACCTCTGTGTAACTACTACATGTAACATCTTTTAAACAAATCTACCTATTATGATGGTGATTATTCTTGCAATCTCAACTCGGCAAGGTGCGAGTCCAGGAGTTAAACTCCGACATCGATTTTGCTTCAACCATGTCTGCAGGCTGGTTGTTCCAAATATTCACCCTCCGCTCGAAGCATAATTGGTGAGCGACCCGCTTCAAATCCGGTACGACAAGCTTGTACTGGTGTCCTCGTGTACGGCTTGGTGTGCGCGGATGAAGCAGCGGCCTCAACATGGGGTAATGACCCAGATGTAATACCCGGTGCTTCATGATGTGGTCAACCCGCACTCGATGATAAGACGGTGTACAACCCTTGTCTCTTGCACCGGTCTTCGTACGACGGACCGCGTAAAGTGGGGATGAGCATTGTGACCGCTTGTTGTACTCACTCATTCCTTTTCATCTCGCCCCGGGTGAGCTGTAGTCTAACATTGGTCTGATGATAGATGAGCAGAGGTAGGTGGAAACTTCTTCGGACCAAATGCAGTAGCTGCGTTTGAGCGCCCAGAAAATCCGCAGTCTGTTTTGATAAAGCCTGCTCGTGTTTTAAACGGTTTTCCAATCACAACGTGAGAGTACGCCATGATCTTTCACGGATGGCGATGGATGTAACTGTTGGTTACCCAGATTGTAGACTCGGCCATTACCACCCTTGCCCAGACTCATGAATACCGACTTGACCGGGTTGATCGGAGGGTTGACCTTTGCTGACCACATGGAGAGGCGGTCAAGGCCACGCTGAAGCAGGTCACAGTCGTCGGGCGCCCCAATTACCCTCCATACCTTTAGGTCATCTGTAAACAACCCGCAAGGTGAAGTGAGAAGCTGGGGCAAAGCGTTGATGTGGAGCAGGAACAAGATGGACCCAAGAACTGTGCCCTGCAGGATGCCCTGGTCCACTCGATCAAGCGTTTGTCCACCTGCACCCTCCACGTCCGACCAATAAGGAACTCACTGATCCACTGGCGTAGTGAGCCACCAACACTGCACCTCTTCAGCTTCCGAAGAAGGATCTCATGGTTTACCTTGTCAACTGAAGTCATCCGACTTCCCTTGGTTTAGCGCTTGCAACCATTCGTACCTCGAGAGCAGCAGGTTTGTGATGCATGACCAACCTTTCATGGAACCATGCTGCGCGGGCGTCAAGATGCTGCAGAAGACCACGCTTCACGACCTTTTTGAGTGTCTTAGCCAATACAGTGATCAGACGTATCGGCCGGTCGTCGTCCACTTCTCTCGGATCTCTGCCTTTCGGTATCGGTTTTACTACGGCATTGTCAGCCGCTCGGCAATGAACAGGTGGAAAGCGACCTATTGGTAGCTCAGTCGCCGAAAGCGAGATGATGGCCGATAGAGATTTGAGGATCAGTGGATGGAGCCCGGCAGGCTTGGTACCGTCAAGACTGGCGAGTAATTTGCGCACATCCTCAGCGCTGCAATCCACGCTGTCCAACTCGGTAGGGGCGATATGCCTCGAACTCAGTACGGACGCCTGGTTATCTGCGAAAACGGAAGCGAAGTGCGCCCGCAATGCGGAAGCACGCTCAGCGCTGGAAACTAGGGGCTGCTCGTCCGAGCGTACTAGCACTGACAGATCACCTGTCGGCTTCAGGCTTCGCTTTACATATGCAAACTTCCTCTTGGGAGCTATCATTGCTGCAGTTGCAGTGTTCAGAGCCAACCTCAGCTTGTTTCACGTAGACCAAAGCACATGAAGTTCAACGGACCAACAACGACAAAACCAGTCCAACTCAGTTGGTCAACTGTGATCCGTACACCGAATTGCGATGAATTCAATCGTCTTGGCTCGCGTCTCTGAAATTGTACTGATAACGGTTAAAGCATGAATAGCAATTAAAATGGAGTAGTTAAGAGTCGGAAATTGGGATGCTACTGCAAAGCGCCATTAACTTTCTAACTGTGCCGACACCAAAACATCAAGCATGTTACCAGACTTTCGACGGGTCCCTTCATGCTCAGGATTTCATCTAACTAGATGCGTTGTTAGCAGGCAGCTCACACCGAGGTTACCGGCCGGCAAATAGGCCAAAAACATTATGCAACCAATGTAGTTGGTTTGATGGCTGTTGAACTGTTCGCTGAGCTTGGCAATTTTGTTGCAAACTTTCGTCAGCAATCGAGGTGACATCATCAGTGCGGAGTGGAGTGGCGTGCAATAACGTAGAGGAGCCATCTGAACAATCTGATCTACCAGCCTTCAATTCTGTAGTTGGTTTGGGTTCAACAGGTACTTCAACGCGGCACTGGCGGAGCTGTTTACAAACATTTAGTAAAGAATTGCGGCGTTACTCCTTCGGTCCGCCCACCGGATATGAGTGGCCTCGTGGGCATTACATGGTTGATCTCTCAATGTCCTCACTGCGCATAGGCCACAATTCCTCTTTGTACGTCAACATCGGATGCACTCCTTGAGTGATTGGAGCTTTGAAAAGTCACACGAGCCCTAGAGATGTGTTCGGTAGCCTCCTCAATGATGCGACTAACACAGGTGACGCAGCTATCTAAGTAAGTAAGTTAAGTAGTCACTTCCTGTTGTAGTCCGACTATTTTGTGGACTAGTAGTGTGTCGACTTATCCCTTCAACAGTACCTTGCACTCGGAAGGTCCGAGTCGCATACCAAGTTTGACAGCGCTACGCATAGCCGAATCTGACTGCGGGATGGCTCTGTGATCCGCAAACTCGATGTTCGATGGCCATTCATCTCAGAAAATCACCATATCGCAATAAGTGGAAGATGTCACTCATTAGTATTCAAATGATAAATTAAACTCAAAAGAGAGTATTGCTTGGATATGATACACTACTTATCAAGGAACAATTTCCGTTTACTCGGTACGTCGACCTGAAGATTTAGGAATATGGGAAATTTTCTGAAGCTCACCACAACCAGATGTGCTCAACCCAGTTGAAGGCTGCTTCTCAGTCCAGCCATGGCTGCTAATATCAGATCTACTTAATTGTGTACTGGATACTAAAAATGTGGAGCTCCATCGATATATTCTCGGGCACGCACGCTTGATAACGTCATTTATCACCACACACTGCCGACGCAGTTCGTCCTACGCAGATGCTATGCGCTCTCGAAATTTGTAATCCGCGAAGTAGACGTCTAGGAATTTTCTGAGTTCCAGCATCGCTTTCGCTTCGACTGTTGTCTTTGGCAGACTGCTCCTATATTTCATCATTCGACGCTAGAAGCATAGATGGTGAGCTATTCGCTTCAGGTCCGATAATACAAGCTCGCACCACGGCGCGCGAGTGTTGCTTCGTGTATGCACGGGTAGAACCGGCTTCAACATATGGAAGGCACCCAGATGTGATATCCTGTGCGTCAGTATGAGGTCCACCAGAAGCCGGCGATACGACAGTGTGTGCAACCCCAGCACCTGGCTTCGTACGACACCCGGTAATCTGAGATGATCCAGGTAGTCACATGCTGAACACCTTCCAGTTTTTTGCACCTTCCCGCGGGTATTCGGAAAAAGGCAGGTGGACCGTACTCAATCATTGGTTTTATGATAGAAGTGGCAAGTGCCGAAGTTGTATTTGAACACCCAATGCATGCGTAGTCCGTTCCTACACATAGTAAGACCTCCTTCAGACGCCCAATCAAAAGACTGGATCAAAGTGGTCAACATAGGAAGGTACACAGTGGCAAACATGTTTAAGTCACGCAGTATCATAATCAATCAGAATACAGTCGAGTTCCCTCAAATACTGTGTTGTGAGAGCAAGTAGAGAATTAAATCTGTTCAACTCCATCGCAATAAAATTAAAAAAATGTTCTCAAATGTGTCTTACCCTGTGATGCTCTAATAGTTCTTCAAATTCTTATGTAACATTTTAAAATATCCGATGCAGTTTCACTGGCCCCACAAATGTAAGATTTTAGTGTCATTGTGCAATGTTTCTTCTAATCGAATGGTGGTAAAATGTAAATCCAACAACGTTTTGAGCGGCTGCACAGATTTGGCCCCCAAAATTTGTGCTGACAGACTGTTACGAACATTTGCCACTTTCCGTTCGAAGCACAGGAGGTGGGGTACTCGTTTTACATTCGGCACTACAAGCTTGTGCCGGTGTCTGCGTGTGTTGCATGGCTTTCTCAAATGAAACAGGGGCCTTAACATGAGGAATTCACCGAGATGTAATATAGAATAAGTCATGCTGAAATTGACTCGCATCCGACGATGGAACAAGGCGTAAAATCTTAGTTTTTCGCAGCGGTCTTCGTACAGTACTTCTCGTAAACTTGGTATGAGCCTGGTAGCGATGTGTTGGACCCGTTCGATCTTCTGTGCCTCGCCTCGGGTGATTGGACAGTAAGCAGGTGAGCCTTACGCTAGTATTGGTTTTATGATGGAATAGAAGAAGCGAGTGGCAACCTCCTCAGAACGAGTACAGAAGCTGCGTTTGAGCGTCCAAAGCATGCGCAGTTCGTTACGATACAGCCTGTTCATG